GAGGTACCAGGTGGTTAAGTACCTGGGCCATGGTTATGCATCTAGTAAGTTGCAGAGCAAAGATTTGAATCTAGTCAGTCTTTTGAATCTGCACTTCTTTGTTCTGGAACAGTTTATGGAGGTTGATAGGATGTTTCTTGAGGATTTTATAAGCACATTCCCAGTAAAGTCATCTGGACCACGTGGTTTTTGGAGAAGTAAATCTTGGAGGAGTTTTACGGTGTCTTCGTCATTATTATCGGATCTTCTCTTCTGAGCTGATTTTGGTAAATTATATTTTATAGAGCAGACATGGGCAACTATAGCTTGCAGATTTGGTCCATGGCCTATTTTTGTATATCAGGTTTTACTGGAACACAGCCACATTCATTCATTTATGTGTTGTCTGTGGCTGGTTTTTGTGCTACAACAGCTGAGTAGTTGCGAGAGAGACTGGATGGCCTGCAAAGCCTGAAATGTTTATTCTCCGGCCCTTTACAGGAAAGATTTGCTAAACCATGTTACGGAACATTGTTCCTTTTAACTGGTTTTTTTGTTTTATAAGTATATATTATACATAGTATTTTCTTGTATTTCCAGAATCTCTACATTTGGAGTTAATGTCCTTTTTTATTTTTTTAAATTCCTGGAATGATTTATATTTTTTCTTTTTTCTCCCCATTCTATAGGATTACTAAAATTTTGTCAGACTTACTGGTAACAGTGTTGGTGTTCTCTCTTAGGCTGTGCTCTTCAACAATTTAAATAACATTAGACTTAGATGACATGTTTCTTAAAAGTATGCTAAAAAGAATGTATGGTAATATTGACCAAACTGTCTGATCCTGATGGAGGATTTAATCAATTCCTCCATTTCTTCTGTGCTAATTAATCTTTATTTTCTTGCCTTTTTTGGGGTCAGTGTTAAATCCTTCCCCCATCTTTTCACATTATTTCTAGAGTTGAGCCTAAAGAAATAATTTAATTTAAAAAATTTTATTTATTTATTTGACAGAGACACAGTGGGAAAAGGAACACAAGCAGGGGGAGTAGGAGAGGGAGAAGCAGCCTTCCCGCTGAGCAGGGAGCCAGATGTGGGGCTCAATCCCAGGACCCTGAGATCATGACTTGACCCGAAGGCAAATGCTTAACAACTGAGCCACCCAGGCACCCCAGAGATATCTGAATTTTAGAAAATCATCTCATTTTTTTCCGTTTTCGTTTTTTAAAAATTAAGTTAACTTGTTAATTTTTTTCTTAAACTCATGCCTTGGAGTTACTAGTTCACTTCTTAGGTCATTGATTGCTACTTTTACTTTTACTTGGAGTTACTAGTTCACTTCTAAGGTCATTGATTTCTACTTTTACTTTTACTTGGAGTTACTAGTTCACTTCTAAGGTCATTGATTGCTACTTTTACTTTTACTTGGAGTTACTAGTTCACTTCTAAGGTCATTGATTGCTACTTTTACTTTTACTTGGAGTTACTAGTTCACTTCTAAGGTCATTGATTGCTACTTTTACTTTTACTTGGAGTTACTAGTTCACTTCTAAGGTCATTGATTGCTACTCCTTCTTCTGCTTCCTTTAGTTCATTTTTAACTTGAGTAAGATGCTTTATATTCATTCATGTTTGTTGAAAATAATTAAGGCTAGGAATTTCCCCTGAGTGCTGGTTTAGCCATATCTTAAAATTTATTATGTGTAGTTTTCAGTAGTATTTTCTTGATAACCCTGCAGTTCTGGTATTTCTTCTTCAGCTCTTTATTTGAGGCAGTTTTATTTGCTAGTTTTGTTGTTTCTAATGTGATTGCATGTAATTCAGAAATACCATCTGTATTGTACTTTTTGCAATTAGTGATGTTTTCTTTAGTGCTGTATGGGGTGTGTGTGTACTTTCTATGACTGTTCCATGGGTATTTGTCAAAAAAGGTTGTTTGTTTGTTTCTTTCAGTTTTACTGATTTGCATGTTTTGATACTAAAGTTCAGTACATAGGAGTCTTCGCTGTTTATATCTTTTTATTTGGTTTCTTTTATCAGCATGAGATTTCTCATTCTTTATGATACTTTTCTGATTGACTTTTAAAAACCTGACGTGAATGTCGCTTTTATTTAAATTTTGTTAGCATTTTTCATCCTGCATCTGTCTTTGTACTTTCTGCTCCTCAACTTCCTGTATTATTTCAGTACTGATTTTTGCAAAGTATTCGTTAAGTTTTTATTTTTTTAACAAACTAAAGACCCTTTATTAACAAGTGAATTTGAGTCATTCACATTTATTTTGATTACAGATCTTTGGGGGCTTATGCTTGACATATTCTTTTGTATTTCAGATTAACTGCAGTTCTGAAATAATTCTTTTATTGCCTTTTCTGTATCTGTTGAATGGATCGGGTTTTCTTGTTTTCTCATTTTCTTCCCCCTCTTTCCAATGGTTTGGATATTTACTGACATAATTAACCTAAATTTTAACTGCGTATATACAGTATCCAAAATTATTCAGTAATTATATTTGTTACCCAGCAACCCTATCCTTACCTCCCTACTTACATACACTGCTAACTTCTCCTTTATTCTTCTAGTACATTTCATGTTTATAGCTGAGATTTCATTTCAGGTTATTTAGTTCAGTTTTATAATCAATAGTTACATTGTCTTAACGTTTTTACTGGTTTTGGTGAAATTTTCTGGCTCCAGAAATGAGCCCCTATGTCAGCCTTATTGTCCCCATGACACTTCATCCATAAGTACAGCAGCTCTCTGAATATGTGGTAGGGATGGGCTGCTACATGACAGACATAAATCCTGCTTTGGAATTCCTGGTCACTTTTAATGGAGTGTTGAGGTTCTTGTACATCGTTCATGGAGGCCATTCACAGTGTTTGCCTGTAGGTTATCTTCTAGTTCCTTGATTGTATTAAAGAACATGTTGCATCTCTTTTAACAGTATCTTATTTGGGTTTTAAATTATTACAATCTTTTCTTTTCCTGTTAGTGATAAAGTGACAGGCAAGCCTGTATTTTAGTACCGGGTAGTATTGTAAGTGGTGTAAGGTCACGTTCAGTTGCCAGATACCACGTTGAGCCTGGTACTAAACATGTAAAGGCTGAGTTAGAGTTTTTGTGTTCTCTGTGATTTCATAATTACATATACTTTATCTTTTTTTTGTTTGTTTCAGAGGTACTTTAGAATAGTCTAGGCCATATTTTCCTTGTGGCAAAGGAATATACATTATTGGTACTTTCTGGAAGCATTAAGTTGTCTGGGAGACGAAAGTTTCACACATAGAGTAATTAGACCTAGAGTGTACTTCGCTCAAATTCTTAACGTGAGGCTTTTCACTTGCCTTCAAGAGGAATGTAAAAGATTCCAAGCCATAGATAGAATGTTTGTGATTTTTCAGCGCGGGTCCTCCCAAATGACAGTTTGCTTGTATTACTTTAGAAAAATCAGTTACTTTTGAAAAAGGTCAGATCATGTATTAAAAGATGTATTAGTGTTAATGAGGTAGGCTAAGTCCACCAGTGCCTCAGAGAAAGAAGGCAGTAGTGAGGCCAGACTGCTAAATGAAGGAGACTCTAGAGCTGCGGGGAGAGGGTAGGGGGAGGTGAAATGGGTTTGGGTGGTTACTGGAACCAATACTGGTGACCTCTTTATTTCAGCATCACGCACATTGTAGACATTTGACAAATACTAGCCCATGGAATAACCTCTTTTTACTGGGTTTTTACATTATGCTGGGTACTAGACCAAGACAGCCTGTACCGTACAGACAAGGAGGAAGACGCAGAGATAACCCAGTTCTGGTGTCAGGCTATTCGAATTTCAGGCCTGGAGCTCTCAGTTCTTAAACAGCTTTTTCTCCCAAGTCTCCTCACTGGTCACATGGAGATGTTTCACTTTATGTATGTGACAGTGGCGTCTGTAAAGATGCGTCAGACTCTCACAGAAACGTTCAGCTGTTACAGAAGTGTAAGGTGGTATTGTGTCAGTCATTAAAAAGTACCTACTATTAGTGTTTAGTGCTCTGTAAAGTGATAACATATTTAACTTTAGGCTAGCCCTGCAAGGTATGGGTTTTATCCCTGTCTTACAGAGGGGACCATAGGCTCAGTAAGGTATACACACCTTGCCCAAAGACACAAAGCTTAGTAAAGGCAGCACTGGGATTAAAACCTGGGTCCATCTGGCACCAAAAGTTCATATACCATGCTGCCTCTCTAGTTTCAGAGATCAGGTATATCTTCACCAGCTTAAGGCATTTCCATCTGTTTTCTTATTGAATCTCTTCTAAGAGTCTAGAAATCTACTGTTTATAATTTTACATTGTTCGTACAGTGGACAAGTGGTATTTCTGAGATTTGCTTAAGACAGGGTATCTAAGTTACTTCTCCAATTTTAATTAGTTTCATAGTTGTCGTTCTGTAATATTTGTATTTACCTCCCCATTCTGAGTTTGTCCTGTTTGATCCAGACTTTACGTTTTAACAACAAAAAATGCTGTTAACTGTGCCTTTTTGTAAAGAAATGATCAGATTGTTTTTTTACCCTTTCTATCTGTTCTTGTGTTGTCTTTCAAAGATGAAGAATAGGGACTAAACACATTAAAAATGAGGCAGATTAAGAATAGTTTCCAGGGAATTGAGGATTCTTTTAGGGTAACTAAAACTCAATTTGCCAGTTTTGCTCTTTGAGCTGTTGTGAGCTCCATAGTTGTGTAATCGATGCTTGATCTCTGATCAGAATAATATGGGCCAGAGCTGATGAGTTGGAGCTGTCGTCGAGGTCAGGGGATGCCAGTGGCATCCGTGCCCTTCCTTGTTGGAGGGGTAGTCGGAGAAGTAAAACTGGACTCTCTCCTAAGAAAACCTGAGCCTGTGAATGAGGATATCCTCGCACGCTTGAACTTTCTGTTCCTTTAGGGTTGTTTTTCTTAGTGCCTTTTTACTTAGATGGCTTACTGTGGAGGTACACTTTACTGGCTAATCTTTTCCACCCCTTTTCTTTTGTTGGGATTAGTGCCAGAACAGATAAAGCCCAGTGTAAGCCAGCCTCAGCCTGCCAACTCTAATAACGGCACTTCCACAGCAACCAGCACTAATAATAATGCCAAGCGAGCCACAGCCAACAATCCGCAGCAGCAGCAGCAGCCACAGCCGCCACAGCCGCCACAGCAGCCGCCCCAGCAGCCCCCGCAGTCCCCGCAGCCGCCGCAGCAGCCGCCGCAGCCAGCACAGGCCTTGCCTCGGTATCCTCGAGAAGTACCGCCACGATTTCGCCACCAGGAACACAAACAGCTTCTAAAGAGGGGTCAGCATTTTCCTGTCATAGCAGCAAACCTGGGATCTGCTGTTAAAGTGTTAAGCAGCCAGTCAGAAAGCAGTGCTTTAACAAATCAACAGCCACAAAATAACGGAGAGGTGCAGAACAGCAAAAACCAGTCAGGTGAGAGAAGGCATTTCTTATGAGACTCCCACCGTCTTCATTAGCAGTGCAGCAAGTTGATGCATTCATGGCTTGGTGGGGATGTATTTGTGTCCGTCAGTATCTGCATTGCAAAAGAAGAGTTCTGTGCAGGGAGTTATGAATGGGGAATCCTAAAATGTTTCCTGTAAGCTGACTGCCCATCCTACTTTTTATATGATTATTTTAATCACCCTCCCTCCATGTTCTACCCATTTTTATAAGCAGTTTATAGCTTAAATTGATAAGACTACAGCTAAAATTGAGCACACCCCCCGCGAACATGTGCTAAGCAGTTGCACATATTATTGCAGTGAATCCTCAACAGTCCTGTGAGGCCCAGGTGATCTTATCCTCCCTCTTCAGTAGAGGAAACTGAGCCACCAAGACTTTCAGTCACTTGCCGGTGGTCACTTAGTTTCCCTGCGCCCGAGAAAGACCACCGCACGTGGAAGTGGTATTCAGACAGCACGTGCATTCAGTGATGGCCACAGAAGGGCCTTTCTGAGCCCTGTAATGATGGGGAGGCAGAAAATGTCTGTGATTACAGTTTTCTCAAAGGCCACTTTGTTTCAATATGTTCTGATAGGCTCTGACGGCTTGTTTGTCCATTCATTTCTCAAACTATTTTGAAGCATTTACTACAAGCCAGATAGAGAATTGAGGAGAATTAAGGTTCCCACGCATGAAAACGCTAACATATACTGGTTATGAACAAAGTCTCTAGAGCCAAATGGACCAGGTTTTTAAATCCTAGCTCCACAAACAACAGTGTCTGTGACCTGGGCACGTTACCTAATTGCTCCATGGGTCTACATCTCATTTGAGCAGCCGATGCTAACCGTCCCAGCAAGAGTTACTCTCTAGCTCCGTGCTCTCTTATAGATGTCAGGACTTTCCCTGTCCATTCTATTAATGGTACTCCACAGCTCTTCAGTAGCAGCCCTGGCTTATAATTACATCAAGATCTGTCTGGCTGCAAAGCTGTGCTTGTAACAGCCTTGCTGTACTTCGGCAGTATATTGGATGTGGTAGGTAAGGAGGAAGAGGATGCAAACGTGATTTTTCTAGCATAGGTGATTAGAGCAGCACATTATTATTGGAATTATTATGAATTTATTATTATTAAATTATGACTCTGAGTTAATACTACTCCCCTCCCCCAGCCACTTACTACCTTATGTGGCTTGGCCAAATCCCTTAACTTACCTCGACCCTCTCCTGAGCTGTAAAGTATGGATATTAGTGCCCAACCATATGGTTGCTTTGAGTATTAAATTAATGTGATGTGTTTAAGCACATAGCTTAGCCCCTGATATTTAGGTACTGAATGAATTATCTTTCCTCAAACATTTATAGAAGGGCCCGTCCTCTTCAGGAAAAAGAGTCTGGTTTAGACATACTACATGTAACACCAAGCAGTTAATTTGGCTTGAAGTTCATCTGAGAAATGAGGTTAGGAGCAGTTATAATGAGTCATTGGTATGTTTTTAAAAAATGTGATCAAAGCCTTAGGAGAGGTTACTCGCACAGTGAATGCTTGAGTACCTATTACAAACTAAACAGTGGTGGTATCACACCATTTGTTCATAAACAAAATGAACAGGGAAGCGGGCTTGTAAATTTAGAAAATGGTATGTTGAGTACCATTTTCAAAAAATTGTGGAAGTGAAAGAAGAAAGCTGTTTTTGAAATGCAAACAATAGGAGTGTAAGAATGTTTCTCACAAATGGGTATGGGTCCGAAATCCTGAAAGTATTATTGGTGTGCATTCAGATGAAGAGAAGGCCTATGTGAGCATAGGAAGAAGTCTTCAACAAAGGCTGAGAAGGACAAACAAGTACCCTGCCTGTTCTGCAGAGGACTTTACAAGGGGGCACTGCCTGCGTTCATGTGGAGGTGGGGATAGAAGCCAGGAGGGCGCAGCAGTCTCTGGCTGAGGTCTGGAATTGATGTGGCTAATGGAGGCAGAGCCCTCTGCAGGAAAACCAGATTTGTGCTTTTGTCTTTTTTAAAAACATTTGTGAATCCCCACTTGCCAGCATATGTCACATATTTACATTAAAATATCTGTGTAGGTGCTACGAGGCATAGTAGCAGCTTGAGCCAATAAGAGACCATCAGGTGTTTTTGAACAAGGGAAGACTTCTCAGACCATTTGGTCTGCCCTGACCTCTGAGGTTATTTACAACAGTAATAATCATAGTGATCCAGTAACTAACACTGTTGGGGTGCTCGCTGCAGCACACAGACTATGTTAACACATTCAGTCCTCGCCTTAATAGTAGAGATCAGTGAAGAGCAGTGTCATGTACATTGAAGACAGCATGAGCGATAGTCCACAAACACCAGAGTTCTGTGTTGTGAATCACAGGTAGTTCCTAGCTGTGCAAACATAATCGTAACTGTTTTTATTTTTGTATTTGTGTTCAACTTTTTTGTTTCCTGAGCAAATACAAGTAGATTTGACATGTAGGTCAATACATGTAATACGTACATACATAGATATTTACTTAAAATTTTCATGATGAAAGTGAGGGGGTGCAGTGCTGGATGCACCTCCCTTGTCCTCACATAATTCAGTTCTTACTCATTCAGTCCAGTCAGGGAGCAGGGATGGTCCCTAGATGAGAACTGGTACTTTATAAATCACAGGTCGTAAGCTGAGCACCTTCACAGGCTAGCAGGTAAGTGACATAGAAGATGAAAAGGAGTGATGGGAACTGGGGTAAATATATTGACTTTGTACCCCATCTGAATACCTTTATAAGCCATTAGAACTCTGCTCTGGTCAACCCAGACAGCTCTGTGGGCTCAGCTGCCAGTTTGTGGCTATACCTCAGACACTTAGTGATGCTTTCGGTCAACATCAAGAATTCTCTTGGACAGTTGATTTCTTAGAGCCTTAGGGTGTTGGGCTCTGTTACTGCCCACATAACTCTTGAAGCTGGGGGGCTTACAGGGCTTCATGTAGTAGAGGATCTGGGGTGGGCTGGGGGCACTCATACACCTAACAGGGCTGGCAGCAGTATTGTTCTTATGGACCAGAGTGTTCCAACCCACATTTTATCATCCAACTGACATGTACCCTAAAGCTGAAAGAATAGAGAGAAACAAATACCCATATACCCCGCAACCAGATCCAATAGTTGTTAATGTTTTCCCATCTTGACTTCACATGCATACTTCCTTCCCAGTCCTTCATTCACCTTCCTCCTTGACTGGACATGTACACCTTCTCCATCATATGTACATTATATATGCCCACATATGCACATTCATTATAATTCACTTTTAATACTTCCACAGGAAATTCCCTAAGAATAAGGAAAGTCTCCTATACAACCATGATACCACGATCCACCCTTAAGCAAAAGGGCAGACACATTCAGTAAATCCTGTAATAGATAGATTGTGTTCACATTTCTACTGGTTGTCCCAAGAATATCATTGTTTGTTTATAGTATGATACCATTTATATAAAATATAAAGCTTCTGTATTGCTTAGGGATGAGTTCATATTTTGAGTGGTTACCACTCAATGACCCACTGGGGAAGGAAGGAGATGTGATCAGAGAAAGGGTTCAGAGAAGTTTTCTCTATTAGTGTATTTCTTAAGGGGAGGAATGTGTGGGTATTACTCTTTATAGCCGTTACTGCATTTGAATTTTGCTTTGCCCTTTTTTTTTTTTTTTTAAGAGCCTCAAGGACGTTTGAGCTCTAATGGTGAATGACCAAGAAATGGGGCTGTTTTTTTTTGTTTTGTTTTGTTTTTAAATTTTTATTCATTTGACAGAGAGAGAGAGAGAGATCACAAGTAGGCAGAGAGGCAGGCAGAGAGAGAGGGAAGCAGGCTCACCGCTGAGCAGAGAGCCCAATGCGGGGCTCGATCCCAGGACCCTGAGATCATGACCTGAGCCGAAGGCAGAGGCTTAACGCACTGAGCCACCCTGGTGCCCCTGGGGCTGTTTTTAATGGGGGAAAAAAAGTTAAAGTTCTCAGAGACATTTAAAGATGAAAATATTGTTCATTCACCTATGCTCTTTACTGTTTTTTTTCAGTGTTGTATCCATCCTTCCTGTCCTGGATCTTACTGTGTCTATAAACATAGTTAACATTTGTATCATCTTAAAAAAAAAAACAAAACAAAAAAACCTCCAGTCTCTTGAGGACATTATAGAATTTCTCTCCTCTTCCTCCTTACAGAATAGTCTATGTTTTGCAGTCTCTAATACATGACTTCAACCCTCTGTCATCTGGCTCCTGCTCACTTGACGAAAATAGGTCTTACTAAGGTCATTGGTCTTCTGAATGTCAGATCCAGGCTTGTGATTTTTAGTTGTAGCTTTGGTAAAAAACCAGCCTTTTCCGTTTTCATGTTAATAGACAGCTACATTTTTTTTCTTACTGGATCACTTCCTCTTCCTTAAAGGTCTTTCATTCTTGTTCTTTTCTTTGACCTGTTTTCAGATTTTATTCCCTCCCATGACTTTGCTTCACCTCTCTCCCCAGGTTTAGGTTCATGCCTTCTGGATGTTTTCAGCTGATGGCAGGCCCCTCAAACTCCACACATCCAAAATTGAGCTCCTTGTCTTGCCACATACCAGTGTCATTTCCTGAGTTCTCTTGCTCAGAAGGTTAGCACACCCAGTCACCACCCATCTAGAAATCTTAAAATCATGTTTGAGTGGCTGGCCATCTCCATATCTCATAGGCCTCCAGTTTCTCATGACCTGCTGATTTCAACTCCACAATGTCTCTCAGCTCTCCTCGCTTGTGTGCACAGCCATCACCACACACCCAGTGGGGGCCCTCACCATCTGGTCTAGAGCAGCAGCCCCTAGATTGTCTTTTATGGCTGTCTCCCCACCAACCTCACTTCATCTGTCATGATCCATGCATTGCATTTGGTTGGTAGTATTGCTTTTGTCGTGTTTAATCTAGAACAGAGGATGGCTTGCAGCCCATTTCAGTCCAGTTTTATTGGAAGACTGCCACGCCCCATCTTTTACATGTTGTCTTCAGCCGCTTTCAGGCGACAATGGCAGCGGTTGCCACAGAGACCATCTGGCTGGCAAAGCTGAAAATATTCACTAATTGGGCCTTGACAGAAAAAGTTTGCCAGCCCTGGACTTAGAGGCCAAAATCACTGAAAGAAACATTTTGACCTTTGTTACTGAGTGCTATTTGAAATTGTGCACATCAGGTTCTCTCATGTTCCCAAGTGATACTATGTCATACTTCCCAGAAATACTCTAAAACCAGAGTACATATACTTCTGAAGACTTCGCCCTTCTGGTGAGAATGAAAAGTCGTTAAGGCAGAAGGCACATGTTTATTTTGTTTGTTACCTGCTATATATTTAATAAAAATAAATGAATCTTCCTGGACCTAAATTCTTCCTGAGCAGATTATACTGTTTCTTTACAAATCACTTGAATGATTGCCAGTCTTTGCTCTTTACCCACATATCCCCTTTGATCTTTGTGAATAGGCACTATGAAATGCACTATTCTTTCTGAGGTGTAGTGCTACAGCTGCCCCCAGTTCTCCTTAGATCATTTTGTGTGAGAGTGGAGCTGATGGATTTCCAGTGTTCTTTGGTAAGGCACAGTCTTCCAACTCTTCATTTGCCTACATCAGTGCAATGTGTAAAAATTTGTATTTTGTACCATGCTCAGTAAAACCCAACTGCCCCCTTTCCTCCCACCAGCTCGGGGCTTCACAGTCTTACTGTTCCCTGGAAAAACTTAACAGGATTGTTAATTATGTTCCTCTATGTTTATCCTCTAGATCATTTGTGATGATGGGTTTTGGCTTCCTGTCTGTAAGGGAAACACCAAAATTTTTACCTCTCCCAATTCTGAAAGAATCTCTCTCTCTCTCTGAAGCATTTTAGTTGCAATTGCTGAGGAGTCCTCTTCTTTTCACAGCTTTAGTTAGACTGGGATCACCCCCCACCTCTGTGTGAGCTACACATTTTTCATAACCAAAAGATTCTTGGTAGACACAGTTTTTGGTATAGCCTTTTAATTTTTGTTTTTTTGAAAGTATCAAGTAATTTTAAGATTAAAAATAGAATTTTAGCTAATAAATGCTGATGGTGTCTCTCATTTTCCCAAAATATGTAGGAATCTATAGCAAAAGACAAATTTAGACCATTCCCATTCCCTCCAAACCAGGTCATGACCAGATTCTGAAAGAAATTTTTACTAACTTTAAAGGTGATAGAGTTTGGTTTGCAGAACGGATGCTGCTCTTTGCTGGGGTTTTTTTCTTCGTTACCTTTCTTGCTTCTGATGTATTCTGACATAAAATCACTTCACAGTTTGGGTAAGTAGTCAAATCTTTGTCATCTCTTTTGTGGTGTATTTCCTTTCATGCATAAAAAATTCTCATTCACTGCTAACTTCATAGTTTCATCTTTTAACACATTAATTAGATCAAATTATTTTTGATAAACTGTCTGATTTTAAGAAATCTTTTTAAAGTATCAAATATTCCTTTTCTCCTACTGATGTAAAATCCTAAAATTTGACAAACACCTGGGTCTGTCCCTGCCTTCCTGGTGCGGTTGAGCTGAAGCTTAGCTGCTTGGGCAGTGCCGCGCTGGTTAGCTGTCGCCTGACACTGCAGCTCCCCCTACCCCCATCCCACTACTGAGATTCTCTCTCATTCTCTTATGTTTTATGTGAATTTTTAAATCACTTTAATCAAGTTACAGAGTCTTGTTAGCAGTTTCTTACAATTGAATTAAACTTTAAGAAAGAATATTATTCTATCTTTCTAACTCAGGGACAAGTTTCTGTACTTAATCAAGTTGTCTTCTGTGGCCTGTAATAAAACTTAATCATATACGACTTCAAGTATTTCTGTTAGCTTTATTCCAGATTGCTTTCTAGTTTTTGTGGCTATTAGAGTTAGGATCTTTTCTCAGTTATATTTTCTCATCGACTACTTCTGGTATACAGGAAAACTATTGCATTTTACATGTGAATCTATTTTGTTTCTTTTCCACTATCCTTACCTTTTTTCTGGGTCCTCTTTCATCAGCCAGTACTTCTAGCACAAGCCTGAGTACTAGTGTTGAGGACAAGTACACTGCCTTTTCCCTGTTGGTATGAGAATGCTTCTGCTGTTTCACTGTTAAATTCTGGGTCTTTCCTTTTGTGTGTAGCCTAGATCGTTTTGTCTGACATTCCCAATCACACTTTCTTACTCCTGCTGGGTGGATATGGCAAGAAACACTGATACATGTGAGAAAACAAAATGTGGCAACTTTTACTCACATCTTTGAGGTGATGATGATGGTGATGGTGGCTTGATTGTTAGATCTGGAGAAATGTGGGTGGATTTGGGACTTGGTGGTGTATACAGTAAGTGAGCATATGACCATACCCAGTAAGTGAGTAAGAATAAATCTTACGTTTTAGGAAACTTACTGAGATGAAGAAAACCATAAAGAAACAGGATTTTTTTTCCCCATTTGAGAAGAGGCATCTGTGGGGGAATAATCCAGGAGTTAGCATTCAACCGGTTTGAGATCCTTAAGTAGAGATTTAAAGTAAGCAAGTTGTATGATTTCTAAATTTGTTCTTCATGAGATAGACGTGGTAGAGTGAAAAATGTGCTTTGGAGACAGGACTGAAAAAATCACGAGAGTCATCAATATATATTAATTAGTGATAGTAACAGCCCTCATTTATTAAGTACCTAATTAGAATCAGATATTCAAAGCATTTTTAATTATTAACCACTTAGTTTTCTAGCAGTTGTTGAGACAGCTGCTCTTACTATTATCACTTTACAGATGAGGAAACTAAGGAACAGAAAGATTGAAGATCTTGTCTGTGATCACACAAGGAAACAGCAGAGCAGCCTTTAAATGCAAGCAGTCAGGCTGCAGAGTTTTGCTCTTAATCACTATACCGTAAACTGCCCCTTGTGGAGCCCTTCTTTGAAGCTGGCACTGAATTAAATACTTCACATAGGACAGTACAGTTAACAGCTGAGTAAAGAGGTACTGTTTGTAGCCCTGTTCTGCAGCACTTGAATCATGGTGTCTGTGAGAGTTCCAGCCATGTTCTCAGCCACCTAGCTTTATTACCCATTGCTGAATTCTGCCGTCCTCCTGTGATTTGCTGTAACTTAACCTCTGGGCCTTGATTTCCCCATCTACAAAGTGCAGTGTGTATCTGTGCTCTAGGGTTGTTCCAAGGAGTCAGTGACAGAAATGTTCAGAAAACATGTGATCCATGATCCGTGCTGAATGATGTTGCTGGTGGTGCAGGTGTTGGCGTATTGGTTTGTTTTTACCCTGTGAGACAGACTTTTAGGCATCCTGTGTTTCTGAGAAAAACCTTCTCATATGGGCACTGAAAGATGACAAACTTCATTTGGCAACCTGAAACAGTGATTCCCAAACAGGGAGTGGAGATCAGAGTCTCTTATGGAACTTTAAGATTCATGGATCTGGTGAATTATGTATACACTTTTGGTCTCTCTCTAGTCCTTTTTTCTGCTATTCTTTCTAGCTCATAGTGTTTTGCTGCTTGACAGTTGTCCTTTGAGAGAAAATGTTGCTAGATGAACCTGATTTTCCATATTAGCAGTATACCAGTAGTGAGTTATATTTGTTTTCTAGGCCTGTAATCCCTGGCGGTTGGTTCCTTAGGTCTGGGATGTGACTTGAACATATGTGTTATTTAAAAATCACTATGTGGGATTCTGAGTACTGCTCTAGTCAGGAACTACAATATAAGCAACTCCCTAAAGACAGTTTAAATGCAGACATCTTATGCAGGTTAATATCTCTGAAGAACTTTTAACTACCAGATCCTTAAACCGAATGAGAGAAATGAATCTGGGGAAATGTTAGAAGCATGAGAACTGCCTGCCCCCTACCTGCAGGAAAACAACTAGATGATAATATATAGTGGTGAGCCCAAGATTATAGGATTCTCTGACTGTCATTAATGGTGTTTAATGTCAGCACTCGATTTTTTAATCATCATAATTCTGTGATCTTTAAAACATGGCTATGAAGGTAAATTAAGTATTTTTAGGAAGGAGAATGCAGCTAAAAAAAATTTGTACTTGTGTTGCAGTGTTTCAGGTTGAATAAAAACACTAATGAAAGGGGGGGCAGAAAAAAAACACTAATGAAAAGGAAATAAAATGGAAGAGGCTTTGTAGTTTTTATAAACTTGTTCTAATACTCAAAACAGTTGGCATGAAAAAGCTCCTCTAAGAATGGCAAGACAGAAAGGGATTTCTGATATATTTCTAATCCATGTAGTCACGTTCGACCTGTTCATTTGTCCTCACCCATGTCCTTCCCGGCCCCTTCTTTCCCATGTCAGGCCTCTAGGCTTGGGTTGCTTCGTTATCCTAATACGTTACTACCACCTAGTTCTTGCTCATACCAAAATTCTTTCACTTGCTGATAAATACCAGTTTGTTCATTCAGCAGGTATCTGTTGAGAGGCGCTCTTACGTTCCAGGTACTGCCCTAGGCTCATAGGATAGCAGCAGTGAACAAAACAGCAAAATACCCTGCCCGTGTGGAATTACTGATTGGAAAAGAAAAGTTGATAGCTGGGATATAAGTAGTGCCCTTGTAACCATACGGCCAAGTTAATGTCGAGGAACCACATACATTCATAACATATTTATCATCTTTTCAAATACTTCATAAACTTTTGTACTTCTCCTTTATTCTAGATATAAACCACAATACTTCAGGATCCCATTATGAAAATTCGCAGCGGGGACCTGGGTCTTCTCCGAGTGACTCTAGCACAAATTGTAAGAATGCTGTTGTAAACGACTCCCTTGAAAAAGAAGCATGGCCCTCAGTCCCTGGCAGTGATCCAGAGTTGGCTTCAGAATGTATGGATGCTGATTCTGCCTCCAGTTCTGAATCAGAGAGAAACATCACTATCATGGCTTCAGGGAGCACCGGCGGTGAAAAAGACGGCCTTCGGAATAGCACTGGACTTGGTTCCCAAAACAAGTTTGTGGTTGGTAGCAGCAGCAATAATGTGGGCCATGGAAGTAGTACTGGGCCATGGGGTTTTTCCCATGGAGCCATAATAAGCACATGTCAGGTCTCTGTGGATGCTCCTGAAAGCAAATCAGAAAGTAGCAACAATAGAATGAATGCTTGGGGCACTGTAAGTTCTTCATCAAATGGAGGGTTAAATCCAAGCACTTTGAATTCAGCTAGCAACCATGGTGCCTGGCCAGTATTAGACAACAACGGACTTGCCCTCAAAGGGCCTGTAGGGAGCAGTAGTTCTGGCATCAATATTCAGTGCAGTACCATAGGCCAGATGCCTAACAATCAGAGTATTAACTCTAAAGTGGGTGGTTCTTCCACCCATGGTACCTGGGGAAGCCTTCAGGAAACTTGTGAATCTGAAGTAAGTGGTACACAGAAGGTTTCATTCAGTGGTCAACCTCAGAATATTACCACTGAGATGACTGGACCAAATAACACTACTAACTTTATGACCTCTAGTTTACCAAACTCCGGTTCAGTACAGAATAATGAACTGCCTAGTAATACAGGGGCCTGGCGTGTGAGCACAATGAATCATCCTCAGATACAGGCTCCGTCAGTTATGAATGGCACTTCCCTTTCTCACCTTAGCAATGGAGAGCCAAAAAGCGGAGGCTCTTACGGTACTACGTGGGGTGCCTATGGTTCTAATTACTCTGGAGACAAATGTTCGAGCCCTAACGGCCAAGCTAATGGTGACACTGTGAATGCAACTCTAATGCAGCCTGGCATAAATGGGCCTATGGGCACTAACTTTCAAGTGAACACAAATAAAGGAGGAGGCGTGTGGGAGTCTGGGGCAGCAAGCTCCCAGAGTGCGTCGTGGGGAAGTGGAAATGGCGCAAATTCTGGAGGAAGTCGACGAGGATGGGGAGCTCCCGCACAAAACACTGGCACTAATATACCCAGCGTGGAGTGGAGCAAACTGCCTAGCAATCAGCATTCCAATGACAGTGCAAATGGCAACGGTAAGAAGTTTACAAACGGATGGAAATCTACTGAGGAAGAGGATCAGGGTTCTGCCACATCTCAGACAAATGAGCAGAACAGTGTGTGGGCCAAAACAGGAGGTACAGTGGAGAGTGAAGGTAGTACAGAAAGCACTGGACGCCTCGAGGAGAAAGCAACTGGGGAAAATCAGAGTAGAGATAGGAGAAAAATTGATCAGCACACATTACTCCAAAGCATCGTAAACAGAACTGACTTGGATCCACGTGTCCTCTCCAACTCTGGTTGGGGACAGACTCCTATTAAGCAGAATACTGCCTGGGATACAGAAACATCACCTAGAGGGGAAAGAAAGACTGACAATGGGACAGAGGCCTGGGGAAGCTCTGCAACACAGACTTTTAACTCAGGGGCATGTATAGATAAGACTAGCCCTACTAGTAATGATACCTCATCTGTACCGGGGTGGGGAGATCCCAAACCTGCTCTGAGGTGGGGAGATTCCAAAGGCTCAAGCTGCCAGGGGGGATGGGAAGATGACTCTGCTGCTACAGGAATGGTCAAGAGCAATCAGTGGGGGAACAGCAAAGAAGAGAAGTCCGCATGGAATGATTCGCAAAAGAGCAAACAGGGATGGGGTGATGGACAAAAATCAAGCCAAGGGTGGTCCGTTTCTGCTGGTGAAAACTGGGGGGAGACTTCAAGGAGTAACCATTGGGGTGAGGCTAATAAGAAATCTAGCTCAGGAGGTAGTGACAGTGACAGGTCCGTTTCTGGTTGGAACGAACTTGGTAAAACTAGTTCCTTTACTTGGGGAAATAACATAAATCCAAATAATTCATCAGGATGGGACGAATCTTCTAAACCTAATCCTTCCCAGGGATGGGCAGACCCTCCAAAGTCTAATCAGTCTCTAGGTTGGGGAGATTCGTCAAAGCCAGTCAGTTCTCCAGACTGGAACAAGCAACAAGACATTGTCGGGTCTTGGGGAATCCCACCAGCTACAGGCAAACCTCCTGGTACCGGCTGGCTGGGAGGACCTATACCAGCCCCAGCAAAAGAAGAAGAGCCCACAGGCTGGGAGGAACCATCCCCAGAATCCATACGTCGCAAAATGGAGATTGACGACGGAACTTCAGCTTGGGGAGATCCGAGCAAATACAACTACAAAAATGTGAACATGTGGAACAAAAACGTCCCAAATGGCAGCAGCCGCTCAGACCAGCAAGCACAGGTACACCAGTTGCTGCCATCTGCAAGTGCCATCTCAAACAAAGAGGCAGGCAGTGGCTCCGGTAAGTTTTCATGTAATGGAGTCTGACCGTGTTAGAAGATAGTTCACACTATTGTAAGCCTCATTTCTTCAATGTACTGTTGCTACATTTGATTTGTTTAACAGAGTATTTGAATATGCACACAAAGAGCTTTCCCCCTCTAATCCAGGAGAAACTTCTAGGGAAGAAAAAAATAGATGGAGCATTGAACAACAGGGATCAGAGCTCTGCCTGTGGTCCCTGTTGGTTGTGAGTCTCCCTTCTCTGCTAGGAAGACTTCAGAAGGTGGAGTCTGGAAAGTGGGGTCAAGTGGGAGTGCCCAACACTTCCTAGTTCTTCTGAGTCAAGCCATTACTTTTTGGTTTTGTTATTTGATTACAGTGTCCTCAGAAATAAAATAAGCATCCAGATACAATACTCTCTAAATACCAGGTGCTATGTTTAGCCTTAGAAGGGATTTATTTAAGTAGGCATGAAATCCACGTCTAACTGTTATTTAGACAGCATGTATGTTTGTGTACTTAAAACTTTTGATAATACCTTTCTGGCCTATTCCCACATATTCCCACTCATAACCAGGAGCTAATTCCTATCTGCAGATTATCTTGACAATGGCATTTTCATTAAGTGTCACTGGAATGCATTGTTTTTGTTAATGGTGTTTTATTGAGAAATAGTCCCTTCAGAGGTAGTAATAGGAGTGTTTTCATGAGCTAACCTTTCAGCATCCAATTTTTTCCCCCAGGTATAGTTTATTGTATTAATTTAGATTTAATTCTTAGAAGAAACAGGTATGTATCTAAGGGAAATGCTGTTTTGGTTCCACTGAACAATGTTTATGGCTTTGCTTTGCACAACCTGATACCTCAGAATTTTTAAGGAGGATTGTCCAACACCTATAAAAATAAGATGCCTAGGTATGTTAGTCTTGTAGATATTTATTTATTTATTTATTTATTTATGCCCCAGAACAGTGATGTTGAAAGGTTGCATGCACTTAACGGTAAAAATTGAGTACACATACTTACCCAGCTTGATTACCTGCTTGGATTCAGTAGGTTTGGCTCAGAATGACTTGACTTTTCCAGAAATTAAAATTTATCTTCAAAGGAGGAGGCTTGCTATTAAGGTTGTTCGAAACAATCTGGTCTATACCCAGAGGGCAATTATGAAAGAAGAGATGGGGGAAAAAATTCACACCGTGTAGTTAAATTATGATAATGGGAAATGATTTGTCATCTTTGCATAAAACAGATCCCCCCCTCCTTTTTTTTTTGTCCATCACAGCATCATTATTTGATCTGTGAATGTGAAGGTCTTCATCTTTTGTTCCCTAAGTATTCCTTATTGCCCCTTATTCCACCGCACCACCCTACCATGTGCTGATGACTTCTTTTCCCATACTTTCTAAAGGCTGGGGTGAGCCCTGGGGGGAGCCTTCTACTCCAGCCACAACTGTGGATAATGGTACTTCAGCATGGGGTAAACCCATAGACAGTGGTCCCAGCTGGGGGGAGCCCATTGCTGCAGCATCCAGCACATCCACGTGGGGCTCCAGCTCTGTTGGTCCTCAAGCGTTAAGCAAATCTGGTAAGTTATTGATAATTCCCAGTAGCTATTTTGTCGCAGTGGTGGTCTCTCGTTGTCTATAATTAAATAATCAGATAATTTTTATATCCTTGATAAATGTACCTGTGTCTCATTATACTAGATGATTCACTGTTTGCCTCTTTGAATTTATAACTTGGTTTGCTCTTTTAACTTTCTGAATTTCCTTATCTTTCCTTAGAACTGTGTTAATTGATAAGGATTTGCATGTACTTCACTAAATCTAAGTTATATTTTATCAAATAAGATTACCTAGTCAACCAACTTTCATGTTATCCAACATGAGAGACTGGATATATAATCATGTGAACACATATCCAAACTGTCTGGCTCAGGTTCCAGATTACTCCCTGAGTATTACAGAGAAAGTGAACAAAGTTCAGGAGGGACCTGATGCAACATTCGGATGAACATTGTCACTGTCCCTTAAGTTGTGTGTGGGGTACTCCATAGGAATTCCAAGACTGAGTGTAGAGTTGAGATACTTTTCTGCTTATGACTTGTAATACTCTGTGGCCATTGTCATTGCAAATATCTATCAAAAAGAATTCTTTGAAATTTCCTCGATCCTCTTTGCCCTGTGTGTTGCCATCCAGATTGTTAAATGAGTATGAACAAGAAGGCCACCATTGTTCCACATTAGGAGTCTTCTGTTCGTAAAAAGCGAGAGAGATGTTTCATTGCTTTTTTTTTTTTTTTTTTTTTTTTTTTTAAGTAGGCTCTGCACCCAGCGTGGAGCCAGTGTAGGGCTTGAACTCATGACCCTAAGATCAAGAACTGAGCTGAGATCAAGGGTCGGACACTTGAGTGACCAAGCCAAGCTACCCAGGCACCCCTGCAATTTTTAATTCAAAAAAACTTCTTAAAAAATTTTTTTTCTTTCTTTCTTAGGCACGCCTGGCCAGTTCAGTTGGTAGACCACATGACTCTTGATCTCAGGGTCGTGCATTTGGGGCCCTTACTGGGTGTAGAGATTACTCTAAACAAAAAACCTTGTTTAGTGGAACCTTCAACTCCGTATAAAACATGCATCCTACCATGTAGATTTGGGAAGGGAAATAAAAGTGGTTTTTGTTGTTGTTTTTTTTTTTTTTTTTTTTTTTAAATTCCCCAGTCCCCTTAATGAGTGCTCATCCTCCAGAAAGAATTGTTTGATTAAAGCATGTTTTTCTTTATATCACAAATCCACAATCAGGGCCAAAATCTATGCAAGATGGCTGGTGTGGTGATGATATGCCATTGCCTGGAAATCGCCCCACTGGCTGGGAAGAGGAAGAGGATGTAGAGATTGGAATGTGGAATAGTAATTCATCTCAAGAGCTTAACTCATCTTTAAATTGGCCACCATATACAAAGAAAATGTCATCGAAGGTAAACATTTCAAGGGCAAAGCTCTTGAAACTTTAAATTCCACAGGTAGTTTACCCTCAGAAAAGTAATGTTCTTCCTGCCCGTTTATGGCAATCAGTACAGTGCAGGCAGTCCCCAACTTAGGTATAGCCTCTTGTATGGGCAGCCACCTAGGAAACGGAAGACTGCAGGAACTTCCTTTCTCCCCACTGCTACAGCTTGGTATTTCTCTCCTCCTCCCCTTCCACCAGTGCTGCCTGGGACAACCCCTCACTCCAGGGTGGTGCCTGCAGTGGTGGGGGTGAAGAGAAGGGCAGATCTCCATGTTGACTCTTTCCATCGCGCTGCCAGTTCATCTCCCATTCCACCTCACCTGCAGTCCTGACCTCCCCTTTATCCAGAATAACCATCTTTTTCATCCCCCATCCGTAGCCCTCCCCCTCCCCCGGAAGGTCCTGTGACAAAAATCCCCAGGAATGAGCAGAGTTTGATTTTTCTCTGATATGTGGACAGATCTTATTCCCAGACCTGCTGGTGCATCAGAGCCCTATGGTGTTCTTTACAAGTACGGCTTCCAGTACCCTAGGCCTCCTACAGTTCTGAAAATTGGACCCCAGATGTCTCTGATACAGAGCCAGAGCTGAGACGCACTGACGTAGAACATTGGTTCTTAACACGTGCTGTTGGATGCTGGTGTCAGATTGTTTTGGGGACCATTTTCAGAATATGTGCCCAGACCCCCAGGTGGTTCTCCCTACCCCACCCTATTTGAGAACCGGTCTCCCCTGTCTCCCGCCACCCCCTGACCTTAGAGGTCAAATATCCAGTAGTTCCACTAGTTGCCCACCAGGGTTCCTCCCTTTTAATCCTGGGATTCTCAGTCTAGGACCTACCATTTCCATTTAAAAATATGTTTCATGTGGCTGAATTTGCCTATTGCCTCTCCATATAGCTTTTGAAGTGCTTTCCCGTATTTTACATAAGCCATTTGATCCTCATGACCTTCCGAGGTAGAATACCGATGAGGAATTTGAGACCAGAAAAGGTGGTGACATGCCCAAAGATGCATAACTAGCAAGTGACAGAGCAAGGACTTAAGTTTAGGTCTTCCGATTCCAAACCCTGTGTTCTTCCCACTGGACCATGCTGTTTTGTGACTTTGTCTTTCCTTACAGGGTCTGAGTGGCAAAAAAAGGAGAAGGGAAAGGGTGTGTAGCCTTTTTACTCTTTCTCCTTTGTTCTGCTAGTAAAAATCTTTTAGAAAGCAACTGCAAACACTTATTTAGCCTCTGCTGTGTGCCAGGTACTGTGCTTGGTGCTGGGGATTAAAAAACACTAGGAAATGAGCTGCACCCTCGAGGAGCTCAGAGTCTAGTGTGGGGCTGTAGGAGAGGGCTGAGGAGTGACCACTTGAGTTTGGAAGATGCCTGTGGGTGGGGCGTGCCAGGGAAAATAATAGCCTGACTAGTAACCTGTAGAATTTCTGGAAAGAGGTAACAAGATATCTGGCTCTGTAGTTAGATTAAGGGCAGATATGGGACCACTGGATGGCTCAGTCGGTTAAGCCTCTGCCTTCGGCTCAGGTCATGATCTCAGGGTCCTGGAATCGAGCCCCACATCGGGCTCTCTGCTCAGGAGGGAGCCTGCTTCCCCGTGTCTCTCTGCCTGCCTCTCTGCCTACTTGTGATCTCACTCTGTCAAGTAAATAAATAAAAATAAAATCTTTAAAAAAAAAAGATTAAGGGCAGATAGTAAAGTCTTTTCATTATCATGCCAAAGAATTTGAACTTTATTCTGTATAAAATATGGAGCCAGTGAAATTGCATAGAAGGCAACATGAGTTGGGGTTTTATTTTTAAATTACTTTATTTAAAGAAAGCTGACCAGTGATTCTATGAAAGATAATTGGCACAGAGGAGAGACCAGAGTTGTGGGATCTCAGTCAGGAAGCTTCTGCATTCATTCGGGTGAAAAGTGAGGGCCTGAATTGGGAAGCCAGAGTGGATGTGTAGTGCAGGGGACTGATTGGAGAGGCATTTCAGAATAGAAGGGACAGAAGGCCTCAGCAGCCATTTAGGCATGGGGGCGGGCGTAGGGGACAGAGGAATCAAGGAGGACTTCAGAAACCGTGGCGAGGGTTAGGTGCTTGCTTCAGATACCTGCGCTTGGGAGGGGGGATTGTGAAGCTGTGTTCTGTCCCATGGTCGGAAGGAACAGGCGGTAGCAACGGGAAAGGGGAATTAAGGTGACAGACCGAGAGTGGCTGGCCCCGTGGTCCCTGTGGCATCTAGCCTCCTGTCAGCCAGGCTCATCATCGAGGACCATATTCCCTCAAAACATGTCTCAAAGTCATTTCTGTACTGCCCATGCCCAGCCAGCCATGGCAGCCAGCACCAGGGCTGGCGGTGGGGGGGACCAGCCTCAGCTGCCGCTGGGGTACTGTGTTCCTCGGCAACACAAATTAAAATTTTGAAATAGCTTTTCATTTGGAAACATGGGATGCTTTTTCAGTACAGTGCTCATAGCATAATTAAATTACTGGTTACATTGGCTTCTTTGGACTAACCTATGGAACCTAACAACTGCTTTGACTTTAGTGTGGTGTCAGAACTCCACAAATCCAGATTGTAATGAAGCACTTAGAACACAGTCCAGTTGTTAACTGGAAACTGATGAGCAGTTCTCATTATTCTGAGGATCTTTTTTCTTTTTGTGGGTCAAGGCCCTTTGCTTCCGTCTTTTCCTTCTGACTACTTGCCTTTAGAGATTTCTCTGTACATTACAGCTATACCAGAGGACTGGAGCAAAGGAAGTTGAAAATCAAATAAGTTGATTTGTAATTGTTAACAACTCTGCTAAGAGTTTGTTGGAGGAGAATTTAATTGGCTAAAAATGAGAGTTGGGAATTGTCTTGAAGTTTTTATTAATCCATCAGTGTGCTCAGATCAATAGAGGTGGCCGTGGTAGCTTTCTACTCTTTTGTTTTCCAAAGGGAACCATGAAAGGTGGAAACAAACAAGAAGAAGCTTGGATAAATCCATTCGTTAAACAGTTTTCAAATATCAGTTTTTCGGTAAGTGTATTTTCCTAGCAGCCCCCTCCCCTTTTAATGGTGGTCTGTAAATTTACTCTAAGTACGGTTTTTTGGTTTTCTTAACAAGTTACTACTGTCTTTTAGTTGTATGCCTGTGCTGGAGGTTAGAGTAAAATTGGCTTTGAAGCTGCCTTTATTTTTATAATTTTAGCTAAAAATATTGATCACATCTTATTTTGAAATTTTTTTCTTATTAGGCAATGAAAAGAGTTTTTCAGTCCTTAATTTTTGACAAATAGTGAAGTAAAGTAAAAAATTTCATCTTTAATTTATTTACATTGATAAATTAAGACCTGCTAACACACTGTGTTTTCTTACTTCAGAGAGACTCACCAGAAGAAAATGTACAGAGCAATAAGATGGATCTTTCCGGAGGTAAGAAAAAGTTAAATCAGTTGGGGTTCATATTCATCATGGATGGACAAATGTTTCTGTGATGTCATGGTTCTAAGTAAGCACTGACCTGGTCCAAGAGAGTGGAGATCTGAGTTCTTGTCACAGCATTCCTGTGCTCTCAGCATACACTAGAGTGTGGTGGTGTATGAGTGGACTGCCTTCAAAGTACAAGTCACTGTGCAGGTCTAAGGTCATCATGATTGTAGTCTGTGATGATCTCAGATCTAGTCCGATCAAAAAAGGAATTATCCAGGTTGGGTGATAGACTCTTAGTAATTTAGGAAACCGTAGGTGCAAAGGCCCAGATCATAAGACAGAGACAAGTTGAACCGGGCTAGAGAAATGGAAGTAGTTCCATGCAGTAGAAGAAGAAATATAAATTAATTTTGGTGGTGGGAGTGTGGTAATGAGAGAAGCTTCAACTGGGGGAGGGTGCTAGAATATGAGGCAGGTGCTAAATCATGAGGAGCTGGGGGCTTTGAACTTCATTCTGGAGGTATGGGATTAAGTGATTTTAAATAGGACAATGACATGATTGGGATTTATGTTTTTAAAAAAATGTGGCTACAGGTTGAAAAGATCCTAGGACAGAAGAGATTGGTGGCAGAAGACTGAGAAAAAGATACTAAAAGTATCAAAAGTGGTTGGAGATTTGTTGCCGTAGCCAATGATGATTTCAAAGCTCTAAATAAGATAGTAGGTAGGCAGCCTCTTTATTCAGTGAAGATGAAGGAATTAGGATCAACAAATTCAAGAACCAGTCTGAGCCAATTCAGTGTCGAGGTGAGGGGTGGGTGTGGTGAAAGCTGATTTCCAGCTTGCTTGCTTTCAAGATTTTATTTATTTGAGAGAGAGAGAGAACCAGAAGGAGCAGGGGGAGGGAGAGATTTCCAGCTTTCTTGACTGGACACTTCAGTAGGTGGTAGTGTTATTCTGTCAGTCTGATTCCAGGCAGGAGAGTGAATTACACAGTGATTTGAGCAGGAAGGTTTATTAATATAAATATGAAGAATTATTCTTATAATAAAGGTTCGACTAGTAAGAAGTAGAGGGACCACAAAAGAAGGTAGAGTAGCAGAGGTAAGGAGAGATCACTAACCTTAGGACAGAGAGACTGTGCATCGGGGCCAGGGCTGAGATCCAGACCCTTGGACCTGGCCCTCTGCTCACCACATGGCAGAGATGTCACTGTGGTGCCACACTAGAACCACAGGATATCTACCTTCTGGGGAGGTGTCTCACTTGAGCTCTGCTACAAAACTGCCACAGTGGCTGCTGGTGGGAGCAGTAAGCCTGGCCGGGGCATGTGTCTGGGGCAGCTGCCTGTGCTGCAATAGAGAGCACCGGGACCTGGGAGGCACCTTTGGTCTTCTGGCGGTGTCTCCTGCAGCCTCTACCGACAAAGCTGCAGTGTCAGCTGGCAAAGGGAAAAATAGGTAAAGGGTCTAGATCCCTTTATTTTTGGGGGGCAGTGAGAGCTGAGAGGCAGTGGGTTGATGATTGGTACAGTTCACCCCACCCTGTGACCACCCATCTTCCGTACGCACCCTTGTGCACACACTTCCGTTCCACTGTAGTGGCAAAGCGACTGTCTCACTCCTTAGCTAGGTACAGCTTTCTTTCCTACAGGTGAGGAAGTCTGCCCTCTCATCAAGTTGAGATAGACATAGTCCCAAGAGTTGTTGCATTTATTATTGGCTGCTCAAAGTCAGTCACAGTTGAGACTAAGGACTCAGTTGTAAAGTTAACTTTCAGTATCTTGTGAATAAAATATAAATGGGAAAGAGAAGAAGTGGTCAGCCTATACAACCACACTGGTGTAATGAGCCATAGAAAGCATGCAGAGCGAGTCCTGCCCACGTTTCTGTTGTGGTCACAAGCTGTGGTTGGTGTGGATGGCTTCTTTCTTGCAGCACCCATTCCTGCTGCCCCACTCTCAGCCATACCTCAGCACCCTGTGTTCTGCTGGTACAGTGACCCAAACCTCTGTTCCCAGAGGGTCTGAGCCCTTATTCATGTACCTTTTCTTGATTGCTGTAGTTTTTATATAACCTTTACTAGTGGGCCTGGAAATACTGAAGAGCGCCCGCCAGAGAACCCCTGGATTCGAATCCTTGTGGCCTTCATTTTATGTTAGAAAACCCATTTCCCCTTGGTGCTCAGAATCAATCATGCCAGCCAATACACAAGCTCCTTTTTGCCTGTGGTTCAGTGGCACAGGAAGGCAAAATGTCCAGGTGTAGTGTTCATCTTATAATTCAGCTGCCTGACGTGTGTCCTGGTAGAACCATTTTGTCTCTTGAGATCTCCAAACCTGCAGAGTTGCCAGACCGGGAAGCAAGAATTCTCTGAGTGGTTTATGAGGTATAATAGTGAGAGAAGCCACTCTCATTCTCACCTTTTGATTTCCAGACCTCTGTATTCTGGCGATGTGGAAGACACTGTGTCCTGTGAGGCAGAAGCCTATCCCCCTTCTCTCCCTTTTTAAGATTTGTTTATTTGAGAGAGAGAACACAGGAAGGATAGAGGGAGAGAAAAACTCAAGCAGACTCCGAGATAAGCACACAACCTGGCATGGGGCTCGATCTCAAAAACCTGAGATCATGACCTGAACTAAAATCAAAGGTCAGACGCCTAACCAACTGTACCACCCACGTGCCTGTCCTTTGAGGATGTTGTCCCCTGACTTGCTTTGTAATCAGTTCTGCCTATCAGTTTGGCTAGCTACTTTTGGGTGATGATGTATGCAGTCAGACCAGTTGATCCCATGGACATGATCCCATCACTGTCCTCCTCTTGCTGTGGAGTGAGTTCCTTGATTAGACGCAGTGCTGTGAGAATTAAGCCTTCTGCAAGACCACGGGTGGCAGAAGCATTACAGCCAGGAAAAGCAAATTCGTATCCAGAATATGGGTGTGTTTCTGTGAGGACAGCGCTCTGCCGCCTCCTTGGCTCACCGAATGGCAGAGAAGTTGCTGTGCTGCTGTGCTGGTGGGACTTGCTGGAAATCTGCCCTCTAGGGTGCTGAGCAAAGCTGTTCATAGAGAGGTGTCTCACGGTTTTGAGGTATGTGGGAATGCTGGGAGACGCTGGCCAGGGGGTGTGGCTGAGCACCCTGTGCTGCTGGATGGGGCAGTGGAGAAGCAGCCGAGTGAGCGCATTGAACTTCCTCCCTCGGTGGCTCTCCAGCGCCCTCTACTGACAAAGCCTGGCAAAAGAAAAATGTAAAGAGCCCGGATGTGCTTTTCACTCAGCAGTCAAAAAGGGTGACTTTGGAGCTGAGAGCCATTAAAGCAATCAATAAGTGGCCATTATTAGAGATAAGAAATCTATAGGAATAACAGGTTCGGTAGACAAGAAATTGAGTTTAAAGTTTCAGAGAAGTCAAAATGAGGAGAGTAATGGACAGAGAAAAACAGAGGAGAAGATGTGAACCAGTCTGGTCTTCAGTTTCTTCATCTGCTAAACGGAGATGATAATAGTAGTGTTACCAGCATTAAATTCGAACATGCATTTTGAACAGTGCCTGGCACATAGTGTGCATCTATCCAGTGGTGCTTTGTCTTGGCTGTTTTTGTTATTTGTATCTGGGAACTATGTTTTTATTACTAAATTAAGCAGATTAAAGATGATGGAAGAAGTCTTAACCATCTTAGTACTGGTCTGTTTTCAAGTTAATTGGTTCAGTAAAATAACAGTATCTGCTAAACCCAACTTTGCTTCTGGGCATGCCAAATTTATTGAATGCATTTTTTACATGTTCTTGTCAAGGCAGAAGTCATGTCAGGGAGTGAATATTTTGCTTTCTGCTGTAAATTTATCTGAAACCAGTGAGATTGTTTTCCTACATAGTAACATAGTTTCCTGCATTTCTTAGGAATGTTACAGGACAAACGAATGGAGATAGATAAACATAGCCTAAATATTGGTGATTACAATCGAACGGTCGGGAAAGGCCCTGGTTCTCGGCCTCAGATTTCCAAAGAGTCTTCCATGGAGCGCAGCCCTTACTTTGATAAGGTAAGTTGTTTGTTTTGTTTTGTTTTGTTTTACCCCTGTGGCTGATAAACCAGTACACTTAATAGCATAATTTTCTCATCAGTGGTTTAGGGCATTTAATATAAAGTACTATAATCCGGTGCTATTACTGGATTCGTAGTTCATTCTCCTCTTTATGTTTCAGTTTAGCATAGGGATTGCATTTGTATTTTCTTCTTAATCCCGTAAAATATGTCTGGTTCTTTTTATGTACTCTAGAATTAACACTAATCTCTTCTGTTTTCTACCCGTTTCCTGTTGGTGCTGCAATGTCACGTGACTTCTCTTCTGTTCCTGCAATGATTTCTCCCTTCTGCTTGTTTGCTTGGCTGGTGTTGCACATCTTTCTGTCTGTCCACTCAGGATGGCATTGTAGCAGATGAATCCCAAAACATGCAGTTTATGTCCAGTCAAAGCATGAAGCTTCCCCCTTCAAATAGTGCACTACCTAACCAGGCCCTTGGCTCCATAGCAGGGCTGGGTATGCAAAACTTGAATTCTGTTAGACAGGTAAGTCCACGTGTGTATTTTAGGCTCTCTGTTGAATGATTTATATAAGTAATGAGATCTCTCTCACATGTAGTTACTGTGTTTAAATCAATAATACAGTGTAGTGCTGGGATGTCTGCCCCTGAAGAATCCCACTGGTATTCTTTCACTGTCGCTTGGTTTTGCAGAATGGCAATCCCAGTATGTTTGGTGTTGGAAACACAGCAGCACAACCCCGGGGCATGCAGCAGCCTCCAGCACAACCTCTTAGTTCATCTCAGCCTAATCTCCGTGCTCAAGTGCCTCCTCCATTACTCTCCCCTCAGGTAATCACTCCTTCCCTCCTCCTCTCTTCTCTTGACCTGGAGAAACTTGATATTTGAATCAGGCGGCTAGTGGCTTATCCTTGTGTCTTTGAGATGCAGCTAATTCAGCATCAGTTGTCCTTACAGAAGGATGTGGGCAGGGTAAAGAAAATGAGTCCAAGTTAAACGAAACCTAAAATTTACCATTACCTTCCGTAAAACACCTTAAGGGGAGGAGGGCAATAGCAAAGTAAATTGGCTGGTTTAAGATTCACCCTGTCATCTTTTAGTTAACCCAGGGAAGTATATATGAACAATAAAGCAGAAGAAGACAGAACATAACCAGCCCTCCAAGTAAATAGTCCACAGATTTAATTGTTTTATTGACAGTTCAGAATACACCGTACATTTAGTTAGTTTTGACTTACTTGATCAACATTATTAACTTGCCGTTGTGATCCTAAGGTTCCAGTTTCATTGCTGAAGTATGCACCAAACAACGGTGGCCTGAATCCGCTCTTTGGCCCACAACAGGTAGCCATGCTGAACCAGCTATCCCAACTAAACCAGCTTTCTCAGATCTCCCAATTACAGGTAAGTAGAATAACAGCCTTAGTCATATACGTTTATTGGGTGTCAACCATGTGCAGGAAGTGTTGCAGCAAACAGAGCCGGCGCTGTGGCGCTCAGGGAGCTTATGGTCTGTCGGTGAGGACAGACCATGAACTCGAAGGACAGGCTGCTCTGTGAGCACCCCCAGCTGGGTCTGAGGGGGTGGTGGGGGTAGGGTGACTGGGGAAAATGTCCCTGATGAAGTACAAGTTTATATTGAACAAGAGACCAAATTCTTCGGTGGCTTGAGGCCAGGGAGTCCCAGGAAGAGGTGACGCCAGATGAGGCTACCCTGTAGGTGTGTGCATCCGCGGCAGTCACCTGAAGCTCGCAGCTCTGTGACGCCGAGACGCTGACAGCCTTTTCACCCTCTTCCCTCCAGCGATTGTTAGCGCAGCAGCAAAGGGCCCAGAGTCAGAGAAGCGTGCCTTCTGGGAACCGGCAGCAGCAAGACCAGCAGGTAGATGACGTCCATAATCTGAACTCATTGCAGTAGAATTGTAACGAGATGCGAAATACCTTTATTAAAATAGAGTGGAATATGTGGTTGGTTAAGTCTACTGTTTGCCTAAAAGTCCTCTTAACTGATATGCAGCTGATTGTTCCCCTTCCTGCCTAGGAGGAGGGGTGAATTGGGCAGTGAGGAGGAATATGTGGCTATCTGGGAAGCCTTTCTGTCCACCGTGTTTCCCAATCATCTCTCTGTTTCCAGGGTCGACCTCTTAGCGTGCAGCAGCAAATGATGCAGCAGTCCCGGCAACTCGATCCCAGCCTGTTGGCGAAGCAGCAGACCCCGCCATCTCAGCAGCAGCCACTCCATCAGCCAGCCATGAAATCTTTCCTCGAGAATGTCATGCCCCACACTACACCTGAGCTGCAAAAAGGGCCATCACCAATAAATGCTTTTAGCAACTTCCCGATAGGTAGGTTTCTCGTTACCCTGAGCATTCGGGTGATGCTTGGGGCCCCTGGCTTACTGTGTCTGCTCCTCGAGCGGCACAGTTTTGTCCCCTCGGGAAAACCATGCTGGCCCTGGGACCCATTCCTCTCCAAGAGCTGCTTTGCCTCTTGCCGGTTCAGCCAGTCTTCTTGCTTCAGGGAAGGCCTCTTTCCATGCAAGAAAACGACGCTGTTTCCAAACCCCCTGCTCTTTTACAGTGGGTTAGAATAAACATGAAGTTGCTCTGAAGCCCCAGGTAGCTTCATTGTAGGGTAGAAGAGGGAAGGTTAGCAGTAACCACGTGCCAGAGATGCTCTGAGCTGCGCTGCTCTGCAGGGACAGCTGGGAACAGTTACATCTGTGCTTTCGGAACCTGGAACTGTGATTCTCACCTACATAGTGAGGGATGGTCTCTGGTCTGAGTGGAGAAAATCAAGGCTAGAGGAGGATTGCCTTGGTCGTCCCTGCAGTTGCTCCCTCTTTCCTTTCTTCGCTCTGTCCCCAGGCATTATTCCCTCTGGAGATTTCAGGCCTGAATGTTTTCTCCTTCTTTGAGTCTCTTTTCTCCTCTGTGACTTTGATTCTATTTTGAGCCTTGATCACACCCTCTTCCTTTTGCTTTTTCTTTCTGTCTTTTCCTGTAACCGTGTTTTCTTGTAAACCAGCTTGGTTGGTTGCTGGCCCAACTGGGTCCAAGACAGTCAGTTAGTGTGCATGTTCTGGGCTGTGGGCAGGGCCTGGGGCCTGCTGTTGCTTCATTCTGGCTGGATAGTACGCATTTTGGCTCTCCCTGGTATTGCTGTGGACTCTCAGCTAGGACGAGGGTTGCACTTTGAGTCCTTGGGGTGGTTAACAACCTCATTAGTTTTCCAGAAGCAGTTCCCTTGCCAGTTACCAATGTAGATAAATACTTTAGAATTTATCTACATTGTGATCCCAGAGACAATAGTAGCGTGGTGAAAGAATACTCAAGTACATTGAGACATTGTGATCTTAACCAGTGAAGGGAAGTGACTCTTGCTGTTTGCATACTAGACATACAAATTGGGCCATTGAGGAGGTAAGTTTCTAAATATGGGATTTCCTGTTCTGATTGGCTTTATAGCAAGAGATACGTCTCCCGGGGTGCCTGGGTGACTCAGTCCATCTCTTGGTTTTGGCTCTGGTCGTGTTCTCAGGGTCATGAGATTGAGCCTCAGGCTCCGTCAGCGCTCAGCACAGAGTGTGCTTGAAGAGTCCCCACCCCCTGCACGTGTGCTCGCAAGTGCAGGCCCACGTCCCCCCCCCCCCCCGCAAAATAAATAAATACAAATCCTTTAAAAAAACTTACTTCTTGGTTAAGAAGTCTGCTGAACCTGTACAAACACAGTATGGTCGTCTAAATCAGGCACTGGCAAACTAGAGCCTGTTGACCAAATTTGGCCAGCTGGCTGGTTTTGTAAATAAAGTTTTATTGGAACACAGCCTTGCTCTTTTGTTAATGTGTTATTCTGTGGCAGCTTTTTTGCTACAACAGTGTAATGTAGAGACACTGAGACCTTGTGCCCCACAGAGCCTGAGATAGTTACTGTCTGAACAGGTTCACAGAAAAATTTGCCAGGTCTTGGGTTTAGCTAAGGAGTCCAGAGAGCAGCAAATGTAATTGCTCTCTCCAAAAATAAGGGATGATATTAGAGAATTCACACTGTTAAAGTTTTTAAGTTTGAATGACCTGTTATCAGTCACATGGACTGTCATGAAACCCAAGTATTGAAAACTAATTTGTTTTGAAATTCAGAATAGGAACAATGTGGCTGTGTGTTAAACAAAGATTCTGGTTCCCACTGGAGTCTTTTTTTAACAGGCATCTCAGATGATTCTGATATTGATGGTCCTTGGATTAAATTTAAGAAACCCTGGCTTAACGGTCAGTTTTCTGGCCAGAATATCTAAGATGGAAATTTCCATCCTTGTTCCAAGAGGGTATCTGAATCTGATGTGTGTCATCAGCAAAGTTCAAGGAAATTGTGCTTTGAGATATGAGACTCTCACCCTTAAGTACAGTTGCTAGAGCAAGACATTTTTACTTTCAAGTGACAGTGTCTTTTGTCTGGCCAGTCAGTTGAAAATTGTTTACAAGCAAAAGATAACAACTGAAAGTGTTTATTAATATTTCTTCATGCATGGTGCTCCTGGGGGATAGCTAAAGAGATCTATTTTAGGGGCTCCTGGGTGGTTGGTTGAGTGTCTGACTCTTGGTTTTGGCTCAGGTCAGGTTCTCAAGGTTGTGAGATAGAGCCTGGTGTTGGGCTCCGTGCTAGGCGTGGAGACTGCTTGAGATTCTCTCTCCTCCTGCCCCCCCCGCCCCGCCCTCCCCTGTGCATGTACTGTCTTGCTCTAATACATAAATAACTCTTTAAAAATATATATATATATATATATATTTTTTAAAGATTTTATTTATTTATTTGTCAGAGAGAGAGAGGGAGAGCGAGCGAGCACAGGCAGACAGAATGGCAGGCAGAGGCAGAGGGAGAAGCAGGCTCCCTGACGAGCAAGGAGCCCGATGTGGGACTCGATCCCAGGACGCTGGGATCGTGACCTGAGCCGAAGGCAGCCGCTTAACCAACTGAGCCACCCAGGCGTCCCTAAAAAAAAAAATATATTTTATTGGAGATAAACTTTAATAATTGGCTTCCTTAAAATTATCTCTTCTTTTATCAAGGAATTTTAAAATTACCAAAATTATATGAAGAAATAGTTTTCCACAGTTGACACAGTTGTGGTTTTAACAGTTTGATGGTTTGAAAACATTGGTTTATTGAATAGTAGAATAGCTGTTAAGGATTTTTATTTGTTGCTCTCTGATAATGTAGCCAGGGCTCTTCTCTCAATTTTATTTCTGCACAGCCTTGGCTGGCGGCCCAGAGTGTCCGTTCTGCCTGCCTTGCCTTTGTCTGTAATCATTTGGCTGAGCCACATTTGCAGCGTGATATTTATTAAGGAACATTCACAGGATTGAAAACAGATTAGTTACATGTGCTTTTCCAGAAAATGGAAGTTATGGTATCAGAAGGAAAATGTGCTGTATTTTATAAAGTGGTTTTTCTGGGCACCTGGGTGGCTCAGATGGTTAAGCTGCCTTAGGCTCAGGTCATGATCTCCAGGTCTTGGGATTGAGCCCCACGTCAGGATCCCAGCTCAGTGGGGAGTCTGCTTCCCCTCTCCCTCTGCATCTCCCCCTGCTTGTGTTATCTCTGTCTCACTTCTTTCAAATGAATAAATAAAATCTTTAAAATAAATAAATAAAGTGGTTTTCTATTGTCTTATTTTTAGGCTTGAACTCAAACTTGAATGTAAATATGGATATGAACAGTATTAAAGAGCCACAGTCAAGACTAAGGAAGTGGACTACAGTGGACAGCATTTCTGTGAACACATCTTTGGATCAAAACTCCAGCAAACATGGTAGGAAATAACATTCTTACATGTTGCACTTTTAAAAAAAAGTTGTAGACTACTAAATCTAGGTCTTTGCTTTATTTTATTTATTATTTATTCATTTATTTTTTAGAGGGAGGGCTGGGTTGAGGGAGAAGGAGAGAGAATCTTAAGCAGGTAACACATCCAGTGTAGAGCCCAGCTCAGTCTCATGACCCTGAAACCGAGAGCCAGATCCTTCACCAACTGAACCACCCAGGCGCTTCTAGGCCTTTATTTTATTTTAAATGTATTTTTTAGCCAAATTCTCTTATAACCTTTCCTCTTTACTGAAAAATGCTTTATTATTAAATCTTAGTTAAAATCAAAAAGCAAAATTAACTTTTATTACAGATTGTACAAAATAGAGATTGAGTATACGTTTGTGTTTTAAAAATTATTCCCCCTTTGATGGTCATTTAGGTTTCTACAGTTGGTTTTATTGTTCTAATATTCTACTTAGCATATACTCAATTTAGTATGTTGGGGGGAATATTAAAAACTCCCAGCATAGTTTGACTTCTGCCAGTTTTTTGTATAATGGCATGTTTTCTTGATACATTTTTTTTTAATTTTTTTTTTTTTAGATTTTTATTTTATTTTATTTGTCAGATAGAGATCACAAGTAGGCAGAGAGGCAGGCAGAGAGAGAGAGAGGAGGAAGCAGGCTCCCTGCCGAGCAGAGAGCCTGATGCAGGGCTCTATCCCACAATCCTGGGATCATGACCTGAGCCGAAGGCAGAGGCTTTAATCCACTGAGCCACCCAGGTGCCCCTCTTGATACATTTTGTTACTATGTGTAAATCATATAGATTCAGTATTCTTGTGTTTTCATCTGTTAATTAAATTTTTTTTAGAAACATCATTTTCATCTTATTTAAATTATCAATTCATCTAGCAGATGTTAATGGAGTAACTTCTGCTTTCCAAGGACTGTGCTAGGCCACTTGGAGTACATAGATACTTATGGACATGGATGTACACAGTTGAGCATATGTAAGCCAGGAAAAATACCCTGAAGGAACTCATTGTTTGGTCACAAAAATAAGCATGTGAACAACTTTAGTACGCTGTGATAGGTGCTATAAATGTGAATCCATATGATGGTAAAAGTAGTATGATAATGTGAAGTCCATTGGAAGATTGAGTCAGGAATGAGGAACTGTGGGTGTAGTGGGTGTGGAAGGGCTTCACAGAGAGACTGCTGAGCCGAGTCTTTGGTGATATCAAATAGTATCTATGAAATGAAGACTACTGGCCTTGGGTTAGTTAATATTAATCATACCACCTGCTAAAGTAAAGGAAACAAGAACATTCCTTTACCATGCAAAGGAGTAAAGAAAGAATACCAAAGAGTATATAGCATTTGAAAAGCAAAAACAGGACAGCCTGGTAGGTTCTGTTGTGTGGACCTGTCACAGAGGTGAAGGGGCAGAGAAGAAGGAGGAGGAAGGCAAAGCCAGAATAGTAGGTATGGAGCAAATCACAGACAACTTTATGCCATCAATCATTTAGAACTTGAAAGTGGTGGCTATCCAAAGCACAGAAGACTCAAAGCAGTGTGAGACAGAAAGCAGTGGACACGGAGGGGATGCATGAGAAAGAGCCTTAGAATTAAGGATAGGAGGGCTGGGTAAGTAGCCTAACTCCTTGGGCAAACATGTGATCATCCATGACGTACCTGCGTAGTCACTCCGTTGAGCGCTTTGTGGGACCGTGAACTCTTGCTGGGCGGGAGTGTGGGAGCACAGGAGTATAGGTAATGGTGGCAGAAATGCAGGAATCAGAGCAGGCATGGTGGGACAGATTCTGAGTTGATTTTAGGCTTGTCAAGTGTAGTATTTTGGGTAGTGCACAACATGGAAAAGCCCAGTAAGATATTAGGAATAGAGACCAGCAATTGGAAGAAAAATCTGAGCTAGAATAATGTTTGGTATTCATCACAGTGTAGGTCATGGACGTGGATAAGGTTGCCTCAGAGGAACAGAGCCTAGAAAAGAATAAGGACAGCATCCTGGAGCCGCTAATGGTGAAAGGAGTGTCTGGAGGGGTCAGATGTGGAGAGCCAAGAAAATGCTTCTACCATGTGTTTTTCTGTCTTTTGGGGTTAAAATGGATATTTCCATGTCTGCCTCGCTTATCTGAGCCTCAGTTTCTTTGTAAAAATGACCTGCCTCTTTCCTTCGTTGCACTGCTGTGGCAGGTGTACCGTCCCTTGTATGTTCTCCAGTGTTTGGCGTCCTGGCAGATATAGTGTGTCCTGTACAAGGGGTCCTCAGGCAGCATAGGTTTTGAAGTCAGATAACACTTGGGATTCCATCCTAGTTCCTAAACTCCTCAAGTCATGGTGTTTGCATCTGCAAAAGGAAATGATAACCTCCCAGAATTGGTGAGAGGACTGAATAAGGTAACGGCCATTCAGTTTCCCCTTATTGCCTGGCACCTGGTGTGCAGGCTTTGGGTGGCAGGGGCTTCCTGTAAGCAGCCTCTTGTCCTACTTGCTTTTTATCGGCTTCATTTAATAAAGTAATTTTGTATTTATACTTTGTCCTCTTTTTTTTTTTAAGAATTCATTTGTTTGTTATAGAGAGCACAAGCAGGGGGAGCAGCAGGCAGAGGGAGAAGCAGACTCTCCCACCTGAGCGAGGAGCCCGATGTGGGCCTCGATCCCGGGAACCTCAGCTTAACCAACTGAGTCACCCAGGTGTCCCTACTTTGTCTTCTTTTTAAACTTAATTTTGATCTTTTTTTCACTGCATTTTGTTGCATATACTGTTTCCTTTTGCACAAATCTGTAGTGTGAGCAGTAAATTGTTAAGTGTTTTAGTAATTAGCTTAAGCAGTAAATACCTCTGTTCTTATATAGCAACCCAATGAATCTATTCTAGGAATGTTCTTTTCAGAATAAGAAAGAAGATGTCAGTACTTTTTCTTTACTTCAATCTATATCCCTATCATTCCCCCCCCCACTATTCTTCATTTACTTAATTTGACTCTTGAAACTTAGTCATTCTTTCTCTTCATTTTTTAAAAATTATTTTTCTGGGACACCTGGGTGATTCAGTCAGTCAGTCCAACTTCAATTTTTGGCTCAGGTCATGATCTCTGGGTCATGAGATGGAGCCCCCAACATGTCAGGCTCCGTGCTCAGCAAGGAGTCTGCTTGAGATTCTCTCTCCCACTATGCCTCCCTCTGCTTGTGCTGGCTTGTTCACTTGTTTTTAAAAATTGAAAAATTAGGGCACCTGGGGCACCTGGGTGGCTCAGTGGGTTAAGACCTCTGCTTTCGGCTCGGTCGTGATCCCAGGGTCCTGCGATCGAGCCCCACATCGGGCTCTCTGCTCCGCAGGGAGCCTGCTTTCTCCTCTCTCTCTCTGCCTGCCTCTCTGTCTACTTGTGATCTCTGTCAAATAAATAAATAAAATCTTAAAAAAAAAAAAATTAGGGCACCTGGGTGGCTCAGTCAGTTAAGTATCTGCCTTCAGCTCAGGTCATGACCCTATGATCCTGGATCGAGCCCCACGTCAGACTCCCTGCTCAGCAGGGAACCTGGTTCTCCCTCTCCTTCCACCTGCCACTCCCCCTCCTTGTGTGTGTGCATGCATTCTCTCTCTGTCAAATAAATAAAATCTTTAGAAATATTTTAAAATTATTTTTGTATTAATAATACAAATTACTTAATATTTACCTGTTCTCCCACCCCAGGAATGTTCTTGTTTCCTTTACTTTAGCAGGTGGTATGATTAATATTAACTAACCCAAGGCCAGTAGTCTTCATTTCATAGATACTATTTGATATCACCAGACTTCTATTTTATCCCCTTAAAATCAAGAATGTTTGATAAAGATGTATAATGTTTGGTTGCTTTTATTCTTTCTTTATGACTATATTGTTTTCTTCTTTGTAAAAATGATTTCAGAAATAGCCCTTGACCTGGTTGTGGTTTTGGTCTTCTGCTCCAGAAAGAAAGTGTGATATCAGTATGTAAGAGCCTTCTAAATTTCAAGTCTTAGAATGTTGGCTTTTTTAGGGGTACCTGGGTGGTTCAGTCAGTTAATGTCCAACTCTTGATTTCAGCTCTGGTCATGGTCTCAGGGTTGTGAGACCAAGCCCTGCATCAGGCTCTGTGCTGGGTATGGAGTCTGCTCTGCCCACTTGCGCTTGCTCGCTCACTCTCTCCAAAAAAAAAAAAAAAAAAAAATTGTTTTTTTTTTTTTTTTTTAAAATTTTTAATTTTTTTAAAAAAAATGCTCTTTTTTTTTTTTTTTTTTTAAATTTACTATTTATTTATTTATTTATTTGACAGCGATCACCAGTAGGCAGAGAGGCAGGCAGAGACAGAGAGGGGGAAACAGGCTCCCCGCCCAGCAGAGAACCTGACTCGGGGCTTGATCCCAGGACCCTGGGATCATGACCTGAGTCGAAGGTAGAGGCTTTAACCCACTGAGCCACCCAGGCGCCCCAGAAAGTGCTTTTTTTTTTATAATGATACTTGCTCATACCCTCACTTCCTCCCAGAACTGCTCCTTCTTGACCAGTAACAACTCCTCCTCTTAGCATCTCTCTGTCCTGGCAGAGATGTAGAATCTTCTTCTCAGGTGTGGTTGTTTTATTTGTTGGCTTTGTTTTCCCTTTTCCTTATATTAAAAAGAGAGAGAAATGTTGATTATCCTGTCTCTTATACTTTGGCATAGTTTTTCTTACAAAAGTAAAATTCCTATCTACCTGTATTCAGGAGCGCTCCCAAATCTGCCAGCCCACAGCTGATGTTTTGTTAGACCCTCACTGTGTTGAAAGTCATCTTTCAGCATCACCAACATCTCTGTAAACATGCAGGAACTTTCATGTACAGATTCAGACATCTGGCATCTCTTTGGAAATGCAGAGGTCTGGCAGCACCAAGCTCGGAAACAGTAAGCACCAGAGTGGGGTGGCTGCTGCCCACGTACTTGAGGCTCATTGCCCCTCCCTGTTTGTCTTCTCTGCT